CCCCTCCCCCACCCGATTGAGAAAGATAAGAGATGACCAACCATAACGTGATCTTCCCCTCCATATCGCCGATAGCCACATACGGCTCCCGCGGGTGAATCTGGACTGCGGTAATTTCGTCTTTCGTAACGAACCTGCGAAGGAATGATTAAGTCAGGTCAAAATAGGGACGAAACTCTACTCATTTGGACTGCAGTTCGGTCGCCACTTACGTTCGAAGGTACTCTTCCCGGGTTCGCTTTACGGCAACCATCGCAAGATTCACAATGGAGAAGGACTTCCGCGTCGCAAAAATCAGGAAGCTTCCCGCCTCGTTTACGTCGAATCCACGCAAAACCGGACCGCGCTTTTGGATAGACCGCCGGTTCGAATTCGTCGAGCCTGATAGGGGGAAAAGGACCAAGTTGTGCGCTAGTTGGCCCTTTGCGTGAAGCTGTTCGCTCGTCTGCAAAAACACTTGACCGGCAAATAGAGGATGCGATTTCATTTGAAGAATCGGGGCACCGACTTCCCAGGACTGGAAAAGGGAAGGATACGCAGGTGCCGAGGTCAGTCAGGCTAACCAGACGCGCGCAATACTCACGGACGGCATTAAAAAGCTCACCTGCAGCAGCAATCCGTCCGTGAAATCCCACAAACGAACAAATCCATCAGCCGAAGAGGTGTAAATCTGCAGAAAAAAATACAGGCCCACCGAGCATCATTAAGTTCCATCCCGCAGCAAACGATCTCCTGCACCCCGCGCCGCGTTTAGACGTATTGTCCCGAGTATTAGACCGCGCACCTGCAGATAGTTGTGGTGATTCAACTGGACGGACGAGAAGGCGTTTTCGCTCTTTGTTCGCGACGGTACGGAAAGACTCCTGATGACCATGCCCGTCGACACGCTGTACACTTTGACGCTCGCGCCGATGCAGCAGAAGAAGTAGCTGATGAATAGAGAATGAGGTATGAAGGAACGTCAGAGGCTGAAACGCGTCCGTATTCGCGCGGAACAGGAGCGGCCGTTGCCTACCCCACTCACACCACTTGGAGAAGCCGTACCTCGTGTCATTCGAAAAGACCGCTTTCCCCGAGCTGAGCTTCCCTCCCGCGGTCGACATGCTCCATCCGTCAGATCTGGTCTGGTCCCCGGAGGCAACGGCACCTTCCGCCTCCTCTTCCTCCTCCTCCTCAGCTTCGCCATTATCTTTTAGGGAGGGTTTCTTTGGTTTGTTTCTGGTGTCGCGCCGGGCACGGATCACACGTTTCTTCTTCGGGGTCGGAACGGGGGTCGAGGGCTGGGGCGCGGGCGTTGCGGGCGCGCTTGCGGGCGCGGATTTCGGCGTCACGGACAGGCTTTTCGTGGTCTTCGCAGCTGGGCTCTTGCCCTTTGCCGGCGACTTTTTCGCGACGAGCTCTGGCATTGTGGAGCGGGGGTCAAGGAGGAGCAGGCGGGGAAAGAAAAACGACGATTCCGAGAGAGTTTTGCAGCAGGAAACTTGCGGGGAGGAGGTCTGGAGACAGTTAAATTCAGTCGGGAAGGACTGGCGAAGGAGGGGTCAGAGAGCGGAGACTGGGAAGTTCTCCAGTTCCGGTGATTAGCAAAGAGACAAGCGAAAAGAACGACCAGACTCCCCGCGCACCCAGGGCCCCTCACGCAACGAACGTGTCGAAAAAATGGCCCCCTGCTAAACCGACGATTACGTAACCGCTCGTTCGGACTTTTTGAAAATTGATTTCATTTTCATTCTCGGACTTGGGGAATCGCTCCAATTAGCCGAGAATATAGATATAAAATGAAGAATTTCTGTTGGGCAGATGGCCGAGTGGTCCAAGGCGGTAGATTTAGGCTCTATTCTCGTAAGAGGCGTGGGTTCGAACCCCACTCTGCTCATAGGTTGCCTGCTGTTATGTTGTTTTGCTAATCCTCTCCGCAGCTGTCCGCCCTTGGTTCACACAAACGGAAGTTTTTTTTGTCGTGGTAGGCGACCTGTTCAGCTTTCTGGCCTTCAGCAGAGTGGCTGTTGCTGTAGCGTGACCTAAGTTAGTGAAATTATGGTGCGTGAGAGAGGGCAGAAGGAAACACGTAAGCAGGGTGCTAAGAGGAAGGGGAAGGAGGAAGGTGTAAACAAGTGGGGTAGACGGGGAGGAACAAGTTGTGGCTCTCCGCTGAACTCATCGGCCTGTAGAAGTCGTGGAGCCACGCACATGCAGCTGAACTACCGACACGGGGAAACTGACAGGAATATGGATGGAGTGTAGTCGGAGGCCCAAAATGGCGCGAATTCATGATGGCAACCCCGACCCACGACGCAGATCACGCCACTTCTCGTCGGGAGATCGCCACGACCGTAATGTTTCGAATCTCCCTTTCCGCCCGTCTGCCTCGCGCCGCACCTCGACAGACCAACGGGGAAGGCGGCGGACCATGGTGGACTCGGTTTCGCAGCTCTTGGGCAAACCCCTTCTTGCGGCAAGCAGCCCCCAATGTTAGGCCGGTCCCGCACCGGCATTCATTCATCTGACCTTCCTGACTCCTCCCTCAGACATACCCCCCCGACTGCAACTCAGATCCCCACCATCATCGTACACCATACCACAAAACGCGTGGACGAGTTTAGCTGGCTCGAGGACGTTTCCAGTGAGGTGAGCCTCGGGGCGGGTGAAGTCCACCAAACTGGGATAAAACAAGCGGGCCCCTTGTTAGCGGGGGTTAACTTGCTATTCCCTTCCAGGCCGCAAAGATATACCGCTCGCAGGAGGCGTCGTATGCTCGGCATGTGCTTGCCAGACAGCGCAAGCTGAAATGCGCCATTTATCAGGCAAGTTCTCACCCCAATCAATCACGCTGCCCCACGCACGCATACTCAACCCCCCCCCCCCCCCCCCCCCCCCCCCGCAAACGCAGGATATGCGCAGCTACATGGGACCCCGCACCCGCAAGTCGCTCCCGGACGTCGTGGACGGATGGGAATACCGCATCACATACCGCAAACTCGCGCAGATCCATTCGCGGAGACCGCTGGATGGGGGGGTCGAGGTGCGTTGCTGATTTTTTTATACGGCTCGTGGTCACATAAGGTCGTCCGTTCGCGTACTGACCAATCCTGGCGCAGAAAATATTTCTCGACGCCGACCGCCTGGAGGAGCCGGCGTCGCATCTACGAAAGGTTTTGGTATCGCATGATCACACCCGCGTGGCGTATCTGCTTGTCGCGCCGGAACACGAGCAGGGGCTGTTGTACCTTCGGGATATTGATAGCGGCACTGGGGCTATGAAGGTGGGCGCCTCTATAGGGTGTTTGGGACGCATTTTATCGCCTGCTATCGATAGCTGTCGGGGGAGGGGACCGATCGATACGGATCTGTATTCGCTTTACTCTGTAACTTGTCCTGTATGTCCGGGAACCTGAAAAAAGACAGATCCTGTCGATGGGGTCTTCAACTTCGTTTGGTCTCCAGAAGGCGGTTCGATTTTCTACACTCGGCTAGACGACTTGCTGCGGGCAACCACGGTAATTCCTCCCCT